CTTGGGGTGACCAACACAGTGGGCAGGGCGGGGTTTCCCACTGGATCCCAGATGGGCAGGGCAGTCACCAGCGCTGGCATCATCTTTTTTTTTTTCTTACAGACAACTGGTAAACTTCTCCTATATGCTAGGCCTTGTGTTATTGCTACAGGTAGACTATTACAGAAGTGAACACAGGCACTACAACGTCATTGAGGCTTTGAAAAATGAGCAGCAGATCGTTGGGTGAAGGGAGTGTTGGGAAGATCACTCCATGAAGTGGTAGCAACGGGCAAGGCAGACAGGTGTGAGAAGCCACTTGCAGAGGAGATGTGGTTGGGGACAGGAGACGACCTGTTGGGGGTGACGGGCAGGAATTCAAATGGATGAATTAGATAACGGCCACATCATTCTACATCATGGATGCTAAGGTGGGGAGTTTGATTTTTTTTATTCTTCCTGAACATAATGAGAAGCCATTGGGAGTTCAAGAAGGAAGTAGCCAGATTTGCTCTACAAGTCTTGCGGTCTGGAGAAAGGAGATAGAGGACACAGGTAGGGTGTGCCAATGACCTAAGCCAGGTGGGTTGGTGCTCTCATGTAACCAGGTAGTGAAAGGTTAAAGAGACAAATGTGAGAGGGTGATGGACAGCTGAGGAAGTATAAAAAGGCAAATCCAAAGCACAGCTGGAGGGATTAATCATTGGCAGAAAGAAGAGAGACAGTGTAGTTTCCAGATGTGCTTGGCAGGGCAGGGTAGGAAGGTAAAGTAGCTCTAACCATAAGGTAGGAGCCTGGGTCTTCTGGTGGAACTAAGGCGAAGGCAGCCTGGGACGTAAAAGGAGCTAGAAAAGAATTTCGAAGGAAAAGAAAACTAGCTGACAAAGACAAGACTACAACCTGTGGGAGAACATGGGAGACCAAGGATCTGTGGTGGCACCATCTTCCAGATGGATTGGCTCTAATTCCTAAGAAATCCTGCATGAGGCATAGGTTTCCAGGAATATTCTCTGAGAAAGTTCATCCAAACTAGCCACTCACTTCTTCTTCTGTTCATTACAGAAGTACTTACAGTCATCTGAGTCATACGGCTCTAGAAGGGCTCCTAGGAAATTATCAACCGGCAATAAACAACAGAAGCTATATCTTCTCACTTATCTTCGAGGTTCCTGGAAGCTCGAAGTATTTTCTCCTCTCTACCTGTCTTCAGCAAATTTTCCTTTGCCCCATATCACTCAGCTCAGTCCTGTCTGGATGATCACTGTTTTTCCCTCTCTGGAAAGCTCTTTTTTCTCTTTTCCCTGGCGAGTCCCAACTCCTCCTTGAAGACCCAGATCAAGCACTCCTGGGACCTCGTCTCTGGCCCATCTAACCTCGGTTTTGCTGCCACTGCGCACAGCACAAGCCCCTGGGGTTGTATACATTGTACTCTACTGCAAGTGTTGGGGAAGGGACTGCACCTGAGGAAGCTGACTGACAGGAACTGTGTTTTGCTTATTTCTGCATTCACACCTCCTTGTGCAGCATCTGGAGCACAGAAAGTCCTCAATATGCCGAATGAATGAATGAATGAATGAATGAGCAGCAACCTCCATCTGGAGAGTTCCTCATCTGAAATGTCAGTTTGACAAAGGCAAAGAAAAGAGACTAAAGCGAAGCAGAGGGAAAGTGCAGTCAGGAAAGGGGTGTTCATTGGACTTTTCTCCCAAAGGCCCCAGGAGTCTTGTCTCCATCTATTATCAGGCAAGGAAGAGTCTAGAGCCCAGGATCTTAGCACATGGGCAGGCTCTGCGGGAACACATGACAGTCCCGGATCCTCCATGACATCCATACCTCCCGCTTCTTAGAGGAGACCACAAGTTCCAGAAAGGACACCTTCTCTCCCCAGGAGTCGATCTCCGTGAGGTCGTAGAGAGTGGAGGTCAGTGGCCCGTAGGTCCACTGGATGTGCTTCCGCTTCTGCATCAGGTGTTGGAACATCTGTGAGAACACAGGTGCGGTGAGTGGAGGGTGAGAGTGGGAGGAGCCGGTTCCGGGGGGCACCACCGCCGAAGAGCCCGGAGCCCACCCCTGGGGACTGACCGACAGGACCGTAGAGGGGTGGCAAGCCTTTGATTACATGAACCTCCTTATTATTTTTTGGTTTTCTTTCCTTCCCACAAACCCTACAAAGACCTGAAAGAAGAGGACAGCCCCAGGTGGTTTGGCTCAGTGGTTAGAGTGTTGGCCATGGACTGCAGGGTCTTGGGCTGATACTTTGGTAGAAAGCTCACATGTGGGAGGCAGCTAGTCGATGACGTGTCTCTCTCACATCCATGTTTTTCCCTCTCTCTCTCCCTTCTACTCTCTCTGAAAAGCAATGGAAAAATATCCTCTGGTGAGAATAAAAAAAATGATTGAGTAGAGTAGGCAAAGGGAGCAGAGCTTTGGGTTCCCTGCAGATCTTCTAAAGGGTGGGTCTCAGGTCCTCTTCAGCAAGGGATTCCTGAGGTTGAGGCTTCAGTGACAGAGTTGAAAGTAAGGGACCAGGGACCACCATCCTTTTGGGGTTTTGAGGAGAATGACCATGAGAATAACATGTAGGGTTGGGGGTGTCCCTCACCACAGTGTTGCCCTCCACTCCAGCCAGCTTGAAGGGGGTGAGACCCTGGTGATTGGGCACCAGGTCCAGGGACTGCAGGTGGCCCCCACGCCCATCGTAGGACAGCAGCAGGTTGTACATCTGGCAGGCAAAGGTCTTGTTGGGCTGGAAGACCAGTATGTGCAACACTGTGTTTCCTGGGGGAGGACACGAGTGTCACATGGCCACTGAACCCAAGGCCCTGCTGGTCCCCATGCCCGCCCCAGGGTGGGCCTGAAGGTTGTCCCAGCCGCTCCTCTCCCACCCCCTGGCTGCTCCCTGGTCCTTTCCACACTCCAGCGCTTACCCAGGGAGTCCTGGGCCCGGATGTTGGCTCCATGTTCAATGAGCAGACGCACGATCTCCTCGCTGCCCACGCAGGCGGCAAAGGACAGAGGGTGCTCCCCTGAGGAGACAGAGGGCTCCATGGCATGAGAGCAGGCCGGGCCGGGCCGGGTGCCTCCCCAGTGACTGCCTGGTCCTCGGCTCAGCTCGGCTCTGGGCTTGGGGACACTTGTCAGCAGAACCAGAGGCAGGGATGGTGCAGAGGCCCTGGGGGGATTGGCTCTGGCCTTAAGCCCCGTAAGGGCTGACTTCACCCCACCCTCCAGCTTCCCCAGGCACAGGGCCCTCCTCAGCCCTCCCTCCCCTTGCTCTTGCCCGCTGCCCNCCCCAGCAAGGTAAAGATATTTGAAAGCCGTGAGTCTTCTATGTGGGCCCAAGAGGCTTTTACCTAAGGCGAAGGTGAAAGTTAAAAATGCCAGAGAAGGAAAGAAAAGAATAGGAGAGAAAAAAGAGAATGGGTAGGCTCAGTCAGCTATAATTATGCTTCACCTAGTCCTGAGGCAAGGGGAGGGGTTATAAAATATAATTTAGACGATCTGGGTCAAAGGAACATGTTTGTACATTATTAGTCCTGCCCCAAAGAGAAAGAGTCACACAGGGAGGAGACTCAGTGCTAATTAATCCCTCGCATCACCCAACTCTGGGGCCAGAATGCTATCTACATTCCAGATCTGGAAAACCCTACATAAGCTTGAGACAAAGGAAGGCCCGGAAAGAGCTCATCTGCAGAAAGAGGACCAGGGGTGTTGGAAAAGTCCAGCCACCCCCAAGTCATTCATGTTTATACCTTTTTCAATTTCTAGGCACTCACCCATCCACTTGGCCGTCTTCTAAATGCCCTTTTCCCTGTGTGGTCTCCATACCAGGGGCAACCCTCATGCCCAGCTTGAGGTGCACAGGACACAGCCTCCCCGAGCACCCCTGCCCTCCTCTACCAAGTCAGCAAATCCTTCCTTACAAGAGGCAGGGGCTCTGGTGCATGAGCACCTGTCTATGAATGAGAGGTGGTTACAGAAGCAGGAGAGATAGAGTGTCCTGACCTACTTTGGGGGGTAGGGAGGCACTTGGCCCTGTTCCTTCTCTGTGCAAACCACTGTCTTTGGTCTGACCTTGCTCTTTGCCCAGCAGGCAGTTGATGTTCTTGCTCTCACCCTAGTCCAGGCTGAGCTGTACCCATGGCTGGTCCCTACTGCGTAGAGCACACTTCTCCAGTCACCTAGCTCTTATTTCTTCCTCTGTCTTTCACTTTCTGCCCACACGCCTGTAGCCCCTTTCAGCTCTTTTCAGGTCACCAGGATGAAAACAAATTGTCCTATGAAAAACCAGCCAGCCTAATGTAGCTGCGCTTGCTGTCCGCCTATTCTCAGTACTCGCTGGAGTCTACCCATCCCGTTACACTCCAAGGAGGGTCTGCTCCCTTCAACGGCAGACTCTGACATTTCTTCACATGTCTACGCAGAGTCCTCACCACCCGGGTCTCTGAAGGACACACAGGAGGCCAGCCCGCCAGAGGAAAGGGACCTCAGGGGTTACTTGCTTCATCCTGCTACGCAACCCAAGCATCCTCCTGCAGCGTGTCTCACCGGTGGTCAGACAGCTGACGCATTCTGCCGACATGCTCGTACTGACCAAACGCAGAAGAGAGTGCAAACCAGAAGGGCTGTGCTGCCCTCGCAGACCAGAAACGGACCCAGGCATGGACTTGGAGCGCGATTTCTCTCCCTTTAGGAAAACAAAGCTTCCTTTCAAGTTCACATTACGAAAGACTGGTCCTCTCTGTGCGTTGAAAGGAAATTTACCAATGCACAGTGTTCCCAACACCAAGCATCCTTTCAGAGTCAAGGAGGGAAGTCACAGCAACCTGGACAAGCGCACTTTTAGTCATTAAGCCTCCTCTCTGGTGCCCGTATCTCACGGCCAATTTCTGTCTGGGTGCTTAGGAGCCTGCAGCTGTTGGAGCCCAGTGAGGGGCGTCTGTCCTGGGTGGTATCACTTTGGTCTCCAGCACCATCCCCCATGTTTACAGTCCCTTTCAGCCCCTTCTACAAAGAGTCACCTGTAGTAGCTTCTGTTCCAGGAGGGTGATATCTCGGGAGGCTGTGTGATTGTCGCTCCGAGACTTGAGGGGGCGGTAGACGCAGCACATGGTGAAACAGATCATGTAGAGCACGTACAAGGCGCCCAGAACGCAGAAGTAGGGCTGCCCGTAGTTCTTCCACTTGAAGCTCACCAACTGCTTCACCGGGGTCTGCTCCAGGATCTGGCGAGCCTGCCACAGAAGGAGAGTGTAGCTTGGGGTGACCAACACAGTGGGCAGGGCGGGGTTTCCCACTGGATCCCAGATGGGCAGGGCAGTCACCAGCGCTGGCATCATCTTTTTTTTTTTCTTACAGACAACTGGTAAACTTCTCCTATATGCTAGGCCTTGTGTTATTGCTACAGGTAGACTATTACAGAAGTGAACACAGGCACTACAACGTCATTGAGGCTTTGAAAAATGAGCAGCAGATCGTTGGGTGAAGGGAGTGTTGGGAAGATCACTCCATGAAGTGGTAGCAACGGGCAAGGCAGACAGGTGTGAGAAGCCACTTGCAGAGGAGATGTGGTTGGGGACAGGAGACGACCTGTTGGGGGTGACGGGCAGGAATTCAAATGGATGAATTAGATAACGGCCACATCATTCTACATCATGGATGCTAAGGTGGGGAGTTTGATTTTTTTTATTCTTCCTGAACATAATGAGAAGCCATTGGGAGTTCAAGAAGGAAGTAGCCAGATTTGCTCTACAAGTCTTGCGGTCTGGAGAAAGGAGATAGAGGACACAGGTAGGGTGTGCCAATGACCTAAGCCAGGTGGGTTGGTGCTCTCATGTAACCAGGTAGTGAAAGGTTAAAGAGACAAATGTGAGAGGGTGATGGACAGCTGAGGAAGTATAAAAAGGCAAATCCAAAGCACAGCTGGAGGGATTAATCATTGGCAGAAAGAAGAGAGACAGTGTAGTTTCCAGATGTGCTTGGCAGGGCAGGGTAGGAAGGTAAAGTAGCTCTAACCATAAGGTAGGAGCCTGGGTCTTCTGGTGGAACTAAGGCGAAGGCAGCCTGGGACGTAAAAGGAGCTAGAAAAGAATTTCGAAGGAAAAGAAAACTAGCTGACAAAGACAAGACTACAACCTGTGGGAGAACATGGGAGACCAAGGATCTGTGGTGGCACCATCTTCCAGATGGATTGGCTCTAATTCCTAAGAAATCCTGCATGAGGCATAGGTTTCCAGGAATATTCTCTGAGAAAGTTCATCCAAACTAGCCACTCACTTCTTCTTCTGTTCATTACAGAAGTACTTACAGTCATCTGAGTCATACGGCTCTAGAAGGGCTCCTAGGAAATTATCAACCGGCAATAAACAACAGAAGCTATATCTTCTCACTTATCTTCGAGGTTCCTGGAAGCTCGAAGTATTTTCTCCTCTCTACCTGTCTTCAGCAAATTTTCCTTTGCCCCATATCACTCAGCTCAGTCCTGTCTGGATGATCACTGTTTTTCCCTCTCTGGAAAGCTCTTTTTTCTCTTTTCCCTGGCGAGTCCCAACTCCTCCTTGAAGACCCAGATCAAGCACTCCTGGGACCTCGTCTCTGGCCCATCTAACCTCGGTTTTGCTGCCACTGCGCACAGCACAAGCCCCTGGGGTTGTATACATTGTACTCTACTGCAAGTGTTGGGGAAGGGACTGCACCTGAGGAAGCTGACTGACAGGAACTGTGTTTTGCTTATTTCTGCATTCACACCTCCTTGTGCAGCATCTGGAGCACAGAAAGTCCTCAATATGCCGAATGAATGAATGAATGAATGAATGAGCAGCAACCTCCATCTGGAGAGTTCCTCATCTGAAATGTCAGTTTGACAAAGGCAAAGAAAAGAGACTAAAGCGAAGCAGAGGGAAAGTGCAGTCAGGAAAGGGGTGTTCATTGGACTTTTCTCCCAAAGGCCCCAGGAGTCTTGTCTCCATCTATTATCAGGCAAGGAAGAGTCTAGAGCCCAGGATCTTAGCACATGGGCAGGCTCTGCGGGAACACATGACAGTCCCGGATCCTCCATGACATCCATACCTCCCGCTTCTTAGAGGAGACCACAAGTTCCAGAAAGGACACCTTCTCTCCCCAGGAGTCGATCTCCGTGAGGTCGTAGAGAGTGGAGGTCAGTGGCCCGTAGGTCCACTGGATGTGCTTCCGCTTCTGCATCAGGTGTTGGAACATCTGTGAGAACACAGGTGCGGTGAGTGGAGGGTGAGAGTGGGAGGAGCCGGTTCCGGGGGGCACCACCGCCGAAGAGCCCGGAGCCCACCCCTGGGGACTGACCGACAGGACCGTAGAGGGGTGGCAAGCCTTTGATTACATGAACCTCCTTATTATTTTTTGGTTTTCTTTCCTTCCCACAAACCCTACAAAGACCTGAAAGAAGAGGACAGCCCCAGGTGGTTTGGCTCAGTGGTTAGAGTGTTGGCCATGGACTGCAGGGTCTTGGGCTGATACTTTGGTAGAAAGCTCACATGTGGGAGGCAGCTAGTCGATGACGTGTCTCTCTCACATCCATGTTTTTCCCTCTCTCTCTCCCTTCTACTCTCTCTGAAAAGCAATGGAAAAATATCCTCTGGTGAGAATAAAAAAAATGATTGAGTAGAGTAGGCAAAGGGAGCAGAGCTTTGGGTTCCCTGCAGATCTTCTAAAGGGTGGGTCTCAGGTCCTCTTCAGCAAGGGATTCCTGAGGTTGAGGCTTCAGTGACAGAGTTGAAAGTAAGGGACCAGGGACCACCATCCTTTTGGGGTTTTGAGGAGAATGACCATGAGAATAACATGTAGGGTTGGGGGTGTCCCTCACCACAGTGTTGCCCTCCACTCCAGCCAGCTTGAAGGGGGTGAGACCCTGGTGATTGGGCACCAGGTCCAGGGACTGCAGGTGGCCCCCACGCCCATCGTAGGACAGCAGCAGGTTGTACATCTGGCAGGCAAAGGTCTTGTTGGGCTGGAAGACCAGTATGTGCAACACTGTGTTTCCTGGGGGAGGACACGAGTGTCACATGGCCACTGAACCCAAGGCCCTGCTGGTCCCCATGCCCGCCCCAGGGTGGGCCTGAAGGTTGTCCCAGCCGCTCCTCTCCCACCCCCTGGCTGCTCCCTGGTCCTTTCCACACTCCAGCGCTTACCCAGGGAGTCCTGGGCCCGGATGTTGGCTCCATGTTCAATGAGCAGACGCACGATCTCCTCGCTGCCCACGCAGGCGGCAAAGGACAGAGGGTGCTCCCCTGAGGAGACAGAGGGCTCCATGGCATGAGAGCAGGCCGGGCCGGGCCGGGTGCCTCCCCAGTGACTGCCTGGTCCTCGGCTCAGCTCGGCTCTGGGCTTGGGGACACTTGTCAGCAGAACCAGAGGCAGGGATGGTGCAGAGGCCCTGGGGGGATTGGCTCTGGCCTTAAGCCCCGTAAGGGCTGACTTCACCCCACCCTCCAGCTTCCCCAGGCACAGGGCCCTCCTCAGCCCTCCCTCCCCTTGCTCTTGCCCGCTGCCCGCCTCCCCTCCCCCAGCCCTGCCCTGGCTCTCACCATAGTAGATGTGGTTGTGGGGACTGAGGCGGAAAGCTATGCCTGTAGCTCTGGCAGAGACGCTGGCCCCGTGAATGAGCAGGGCTCGCACCAAGTTCACGTTCTGGTTCATGATGGCCACGTGCAGTGCAGTCTGACCTGGTTCAGAGAGAGCCCTCAGTAGTGGGGCCTGCCCCCATTGTTTTCCAGAGGCACACCATCCGCCTGGCTTGTAGGGGGTCCCTGACAGATCCTTGAATAGATTTCTGCCCTTGGCTCCACAGAGTGGCCTGGGGCTGAGGGCAATGAGTCCCTCAGGCTGTTGGCTGTATAGTCCCTACATCTTGCTGTTGGGTGTGGGGCATAATTGTAATCACTCTAGTGTCACAGTGAAAGAAATAGAGTCCTGTCCTTCAGGGAACATGAAAGGAGTTGAAGGGAAAGAATAAATGGCTGAAAGAGTCGTGGAAGCCAAGGCCAACTCAGAGGCCCATTTCTCCTGCCTGTCTCCACCTTGAAACACTGTGCAGGCGCCTCACCTACAAATGGCTCGCACAGGGTGGGCTCCAAGACCAGGTCCGGGGCGGCCTCTATCAGCACCGCAGCGGCCTCCAGGTTGTCATAGAGCGCGGCTATGTGCAGCGCCGTCTCCCCCAGGGCTCCTGGAGCACAGTAAGATAAGGGGGTCAGACACTCCCCTCCGGGGACAGGCCCCTTCCCAGAAACCCTGGGAGTCCTGGGTGGAGGAGCCCTATCTCCACCACATTGAACTTCGAGCCCACCTCTTTGCCGAAAGTCGCAGCTTCTGTCCAGCAGAAGTTTCTTCAGGGCACACAAGTCATTGTCCTTGGCTGCCCGAAGCAGCGGAGATTCTTGAATCCTGGGAGAAGATGAATGAGATGGAGACAGAATTGCAGTGAGGCCAAGAGCAGAGCCTACATCACACTAGTCTTCCTTCCTGAGGGTCTCATGCTGTGAGTGGGGGACTCAACAGAGGGCTGTAGTGACCCTCAGAGGGGGAGGGCCCTGGCTATGAAATGGGTGGACATGGTGGCGCAGAGAGGAGGCCATCAGCCCTGGCTGAATCAGTCGAAGCTGGGTAATGTTTCAGGAACCTGGGGAGCTAGAGCAGGTGGGGAAGATGGAACTTCTGTCCCCGGCTGACACCCTGGCCTGTGAACCGACTGTTTCACTAAGAGGAGTTTGAGAGATCAAAGCGGGGCAGGGAGGGGAGACAGGCCAGGGTGAGAGCTGCGGGTGTTTGTGAGTTGCTGAAGTTCTGATTACCCTCTGGGCTGTTTAGATTCATGTCCCTGAGGGGGACAGAGAGAGTTTGGGGTGGGTTATGGAGGACCTATTCCTTCTGGGTGCTACCCTATCATTGAAGAGTCTAAACACCCAGGTTGTAACTGAGGAGACAGCCTGCAGCTTCTCAGATGGTGCAGCTCGGAGTGAGGGGGCGTCCCATGGAGAGGCCCATCCCCGGGCACCTCTCCTGGTCAATCTTTGTTTTCCCCCTGCCTGGAGGAGCCAAGCACCAGATAAAGCTGAGGCCGATCCTGCTGGGGAAGTCAGGATTAGCTCACTGTGAAGGTGACCACAGGGTCTGGCAGGTTAAGGGTCATGAGGGAGACACAAAAGGAAGACAAACTGACAAGTGACCATGATGTCCCCCAGCCCCCAATTCCTCTCTCCCAGTATCCCCTCGAGCCATTGGAAAAGCTTTACTTAAGGAAGCAGCTTTTTATCTTCAGGCGGAGCTCAGGTCTGCCCGCATTTAGAGAAGCGCTCGCAGGAGGGACCACCAGAGGGAGGGCCAGCCCTGCTCCATCTCACCTGGACCCTTGGTCCGGTGGGAGCACCAGCGCGGGGTGGCCAGGGCTGGGCTTCCAGGGTTCAGGCCTGTGCTGAGGGCACCGCGCAAAGCCTCGTCACTCTGGCCTCTAGCCCCTGCCCCCTGCAGAGAGGAGGTCTGGAACGCCACTCTCTCAGAGGCAGCCCTAATCCCACTCTGAGGCAAGGGACAGAGCAGGGAGGCCAAAGGTTCCACCGCAGGGCCTGGAGTGGGTGCTGCTGAGCTAGCAGAGCGCCTTTCGGAACTAGGGCTTAGACTGCACCCAGCCCTGCAAGTTGAGAGGCCGGGTGCAAAAAGAAAGAGCAGGACCCCTTGTAGACAATGGTGT